CTCCTGTAGGTCACAGGAGTGCATTTTACTTCTGCACTCCTGTGAGCCGTATTCAGCTGATAGCGGACTAAAGTCTGCTGTCAGCTGCCATCGCTGAGCCGGTCCAGACTGCTGAGAGCCTGAGCAAGCCGCTCCTGCATCTTCAGCTCTCTTCTCACAGAAGACCGAAAACCGATCGATCAGAGATCTTTGGTCACATGGTCTGGCTTAAACGCGATGGGGGAACAGATGCAGCATCAAACTGGTGCTGCATCCACCTAGGTGAGTATTTAATATTTTTTTTATTCCAATTCTCAAACTTCTCTTTTAAAATCTGTTACATGGGAGCTTTTTCTCTGCACTATGATGGTGGGGGAGCAGCTGTACATAAATTATTTAAGTTGTAGGAAATGTTTGCTCTAGGAGAAATGGAGCGCAAGCATAGTAAGCTTTTAGTTCTGAAAGACTGTGAATAATGTGAAAAGACAAGGTTGTGCTTGTGTTCTTTTATTTTTTTTGCAATGTTCCATACTGCCTAATAAATGTAATGCAGATATTACAGTCTAAACCAGTATAGATCTTTTGACTTTCCTGGGCGACATTGAAAGCAGGGGAATTTTCTTGGGCTGCACATAAAATTCACTAACAATAAGGATAGCTGATGAGCAGCAAAAGTCAGGCAGATTAAAAGTTAACAATCACTGATATAGGTAATGTACCTATCTGAGTAATACAACATCATTGTTTTTTTTTTTTTTGTAATGTTTTTATTATAGAAGTAAAAGAGGGCAACAAAACTAGCGCGATATCTGACACTGTTTGTAGTAAACCAATGCATCAGTCTCTGATTGGAAGGATGTAGCAGCAATTCTCAATGAATTCGCAAGGTGCTCATCAAATATTTTGGTTCTAATTTTGCACTTTGTGTGCTTCATCCTTGAAAATAGTTTCTCATAAATACAGGTGCTGCCAAAAACTCATGACATGAATAAGGCGTGATTGTGAAGAATGGGATATTTTTCTTTGGGAAGATAAAACATATAAAAGTCCAGTAAAAGAGACTGTCAATTTTTTCTTCAGCCACATGTTAGCCAAGTGTAAACGTATTTTTACAAAAATCAACATTTTTAAGTTTACAATTTTGTGTCTTGGGTCACAGGTTTGACACCACAGTATAAACTAAGAACTTTTCTGCTGCAATCTAATTTCAGCTGCCATTTTTTTTTTCACCTTGCATTTCAAAGTCCTGTTAGAGGATGGCCTTTTTCTGTGTAACATACTAATGACTATTTACAATCAAAACTAGTGTGGTTCAGCATTCAAAAATGTTGGTTATTTTGTAATCAAAACCTTTTTATATATGGAAGCTAGAAAAAATATTGCAGGAAAGGATGTTGAGAGTCACACCAGCATGACTATGTAATAATAACATGGATTTTTTTTTTTGTTTGTTTCAGACAGAAAACTTACAAAAGAATTGGCTGCGAGAATTTTATCAGGTAAGAAATGTGGTAAAAGCTGATAATGCATTTGTTGTAATTCAGTTACATTTTTCCTTGGGTGAATAGTATGTTATAATAGTATTGCACCTCTTATCTGGAGGCATGTAGTACACAAAGTTACATACAAGGCTGGTATTCGGGGAAAGCAATGTGGACTGTGATCTATGATAGCAGCAGACCAGCTTTTCCTTTTACTACCTTCTCTAATTTCTTTATGTAAAATGTCGGCTGCAATGCATGAAAATTCAGTTCAATTGATTTGCAGGTGGATTTTCAAATCTCTCAGGGCAAAGGCAAATTATGGTGAGCAAATATGCTTTAATATTTGTATGCACTTTGCATTTTGCAGACAGATTATTTATACTGGTGATTTATATCAATTTACCAGGTCCAACACAGTTTGTCTAAACTTTAATATTGGAGCAAATCTGTTCACTGTTCTATTCAGTAATCCACCTGTGAAATATATATTATCATTGAAAATGAAAGGGCAGCTTTTGTTTCCAAGTTTGGATAGAATGACAAGAAGTTAGATCCCCTGTGGTGTTTTAATTGCTGTCTGTGTCCGTGCTAGGGGACTTTTTGTCCTGGTGACCAAGTTGTCAAAAGAACAAGAATTTAGGGGAAATCTTTCGGTGGGTAGACTTTTCCAATGACAACTGTCTAAAACCACTATAGTACAATTTAATTCAAAAGATATGTTTTCAGAGTAATTGTTCGGCTTTTCAGTAGTTAAAGCGGAGTTCCAGTCATTTTTGTGTTTATTAAAAGTCAGCAGCTACAAAAACTGTAGCTGCTGACTTTTTAATAAACACACACTTACCTGTCCCAGAGTCCAGCGATGTGCTCACCTGCGCTGTCTCTTCTCCCCTTCTCTCCTCCACAGCGCCAACATCTCAAATGTGGGCACCAGGCTGGGACAACTTGCTGCTTCACAGCCTGGTGCCCATTGCGCATGCGCGACCCTCGCTGCGCCTCCTAATTGGTCTGGCAGTCTTCTGGGACCTGTGAAAGTTCCCAGGAGACTGCAGGAGGGAGGAGGGGGCCAAACTTCTGGCTCACTTAGCCATGGTGAATTGAGCTAGAAGTGGGAGCGGGTACCTGTCAAAAACAGGTATCTGCTGCCCTCTCCCACCCCAAAAGGTGCCAAATATGGCTGTGGAGGGGGGAGGAGGCATTTAAGTGGAGCTTCCGCTTTAATAGGGTTAAAAAGGGTCACTTTCATGAAAAAATACAGTAAATGAAAAAATCAGTGTATCTACATTTGCTACACAAGCCAAATTGTAATTTAATGTTTTTAAAAATTACCTTTCCTTTTCAATCTACAGCGTTGTCATTTTCTGTAAAACTCAATGCAATATGGCAACCTGGAGGCGTTCTGTGCACAGTTGGTATACAAAACTTCCTCTGATAAAATACAGCCTCTACAATAGCTGCACAAGCCATATTGTAATTTAATACTAAAAAAAATTGCCTTTTCTTTGCAATCTGCCACTGCTTTAATTTTCTATAAAAGTCAGTGCAATATGGCAACCTTCACAGTTGGTGTACAGAACTTCCCCAGAAATGTCACTTCCTGCTTGTGTAATTGGCTCGTTTTCCCAGAAGTCTGTGCTAAGATACAAGGAAAAATATTTCGGCATCCTCTGCAAAAACATATTTTTGGGTAAGATGCTCTCTAAGGGTTAATTACTATTAAAGAGATGCAGACACTGCAACTTTCCTCATTAGAAGACTGCAAATGCATCAATTGGTTACAGTGAATACTCCCATTCAGGAATCGGGACATAGTAGAACATACAGCTTTTTTTAAGGACAGAAATAAGTAGGACTCTTAGTGCTGGTTCACATGCATTCGGTTTGGTTACAAATTGAACTGCATCCAATCCAAATGGCATGTGAAAAAACATTGCTTCCTATGGTGTCTGTTCACATGTGTCTGGTGCACTGGCGGTGCAGATTCAGTGCAGTTTGAAAAAGTAATGTACAATTTCTGAGCAGTGCGGTCAGGTTCAGGTGCAGAGTACAGGCTATTGACTTCTATGGGAACCATTTCTAAACCGCATATGTGTGAACAGGATAACCCTGAGAGCTAGTCATGTCCTGAACCTGATGTAAACCTGACATGAACTGCTATACCGCTACAACTACTCTATTAATTAGCTGTGAAACCTGAGATTCAATCCGCACTGCACATGTGTGAATCGGCTCTTCTACAAAATTTGTTAAAATCCTTGCAGTTTCATTGATCACCCAGAGAGGATTGGTTTTTTTTTGTTGTTTGTTTTCTTTTAACCACTTACTGTCTGCCTTAGAGCAGTTTTACTGATACAGGGCTGCACTCCTGTGCAAATTCGTGTGTGTGACAAACTGATCTACACCTGCAGATTGTTGGTCAGGGACAGTGGTGTCAGTAGGGTTAGTGTCACCTGGTGCTGTAAAACATGGTGTCACCCCTTCCTCGACACCATACTGTATGTTATATACACTGGTCTGTATATAATGTTCAGTACAGTGTCAGGGTACAGACTGGTCTGTATATAATGAGAAGAGAGATATGGGACAGAGGAAGGGAAGGGAAAAAAAAAGAGTTGGCAGAGGGAGGCAAAGTTGGAGAAAATGAGGTGAGAGGAGGCGAGAAAAAGGGGGAGGAAGGGAGGGGAGAAAAGGAGGGGAAGAGAGAAAGGGGGAGAAAAAATATATGGCGGGGGGGGGGGGGGGGGGGAGAGCGAGCAAATTGGGGGAGAGAGAGCAAAGGGAGGAGGGAGATAAAGGGAGGAAAAAAAGGAGGTGAGCGAGGGGTGTGTTTTGGGCACCAATTCCCAAGAAAGAACATTGGGGAACTGGAGAAAGTACAGAGAAGGGCAACCAAACTGATAAGAGGCATGGAGGAGCTCAGCTATGAGGAAAGATCAGAGGAACTGAATTTATTCTCTCTTGAGAAGAGGAGATTAAGGGGGATATGATCAACATGTATAAATACATTAGTGGTTCATATAGTGAACTCGGTGTAGAGTTATTCACCCTGAGGTCATCACAGAGGACAAGGGGGCACTCTTTGGGGTTTATTTATTAAAGCTGGAGAGTGCAAAATTAGGCTCACTTCTGCATAGAAACCAATCAACTTCCAGGTTTTATTACTAGAGCTTAATTGAACAAGCTTTAGGTTAGAAGGTGATTGGTTTCTATGCAGAAGTGAATTTGGTTTTGCACTCTCCGGCTTTAGTAAATAAACCCCTGTATGTCTGGAGGAAAAGAAATGTAATCTCCAAACACGGAAAGGTTTCTTCACAGTAAGAGCTGTGAGAATGTGGAATAGACTCCAAGTGTTGGTTCTGGCCAGCTCAGTGGATTGCTTTAACCATAAGCCTACTGGGCACTTATACTCCCTTCCTGCCCAGGCCAATTTCCAGCTTTCAGCTCTGTTGCACTTTGAATGACAATTGCGCGGTCATGCAACACTGTACCCATATGAAGTTTGTTATCATTTTTTGCGACAGAGCTTTATTTTGGTGGTATTTAATCACCTCTGGGTTTTTTTTATTTTTTCTTAAACCACAAACCACTAAAAATTTTGAAAAAAAAAAGATTTTCTTAGTTTGTTATAAAATTTTGTAAATAAATGATTTTTCTCCTTCACTGATGTGCGCTAATGAGGCTGCAGTGATGGGCACTGATAGGCTGCACTGATGAACACTGATGGGTGGCACTGATGAGGCACTGGTAAGTGGCACTGATGGGTACTGAAAGGCAGCACTGATACATGGCACTGTTAGGCGGCACTGACTGGCACTGTTAGGTGGCGCTGATGGGCGACACTGAAAGGCAGCTCAGATGGGCACTGATATGTGGCACTGATGGGCACTGGCACGAGGCACTGATGGACACTGACAGGTGGCACTGCTGGGGCTACACTGATCATCAGGACACACTGATCATCAGTGCCCTGATGATCAGTGTACATGTCCCCTCCGCGGAAAGCCGATAACCGGCTCCCCTCACGAGCTGTCAGCGTGACTGCTCGAGAGGAGAGAAATGCCGATAACCGGCATTTCCCTGTTTGCACGTGATCAGCTGTGATTGGACACCGCTGATCACATGACATCTTCGGCTCTTTCCGTGAACGGTGATCCGCTGTGTCCGACGGGCACAGCACACCACCGATTGCCGCGCTGCGCACTGAGAATGGGAGGACATCATATGACGTCCTCCCAGAACGAGAGAACCACCTTGCGTCCATCATATTACTATATGGCAGGCGGGAGGTGGTTCAAAAAAAGTCCTGGATTCTTTCCTAGATACACAGAATATAACTGGATACTAACATTTATAGGTAAAGTTGATTCAGGGAATATCCGATTTGTGTCTCCGGGGGATCAGGAAGGAATTTTTTTCCTTGCAGGAGCAAATGGGATCATGCTTTGCTGATTTTTTTTTTTTTTTATTTTTTGCCTTCCTCTGGATCAACTGCGGGTGTAGGATTATAACTTTTTTTTTTTCTTTATTGATTGAACTGGATGGACTTTTTGTCTTTTTTTTTTTCAGCTAGACTAACTATGTAACACAAGTTCTATTTTGTATTGCTGTCATAAAAGCCTTGCTTTTTTATAGTTGTAAATATCTGATTTGTATTTATTTTTATTTTTCTATTTTTTTTTCTATTTTTTTTTAGTTTTAAAGCTGTATTAAACTTAAAAGCAAACATTATATTGCAGCTTGCTAATTCTTAAGTGTGGAGGCTGCATTGTTTTGTTTTTTTTTTTTTTTTTTTTTTTTTTTTTAATTTTTAGGCTCTTTTTTTTTCATTTTGCAAATGTAGCAGTTAGAGGATTGAGACAAACTACTGACGGGTGCTACACAATCAGCATTTTTTAAATTTATGTAAAACCTTTATCTGAAAATGAAAAAAAAACTGTTTGCTGTATCTGCTTAAAAATTAACTGGAATTCAGCTTCAGTTTGTTTATTGTATTTAAATATGTTAGTACATCTAACACTCCACTCCCCCAAAGCTGAGGGTGTTGTCACCCAAAGGTGTCTCTGTTGCTCCTAGGTCTGGAGTGGAGACACTCTAATACAGGATGTGTGTTACTGACCAGATCACCAGGGAAAAACAGAGGGAAGAAAGCCTAAGAAAAAATATTAATGTGGGTCAGGAAGTGAAGGCGGATCTCCACAATGGGACACTAATTGCAAAAAATGGTAAAAAAAAAAGATTTTTGCCATTAGATCGAGACTTTAAATCTAATTTTATATATCTGTTTTTGCACCAGATTACCAAAACATCTCTGATCCAAAAAGCCCGCATCTCACTTGCACATAATTGTCAAGTGATAGATGAGTCTAAAAGCAAGCCTTGAGGTCCATACGTATATCTTTGTGTCGCCTTCCAGAAAACTTGGAAGTCTGGGCGCTTAGTATGCAGTGGTAGCCTCCATATCAGAAGACTGATGATGTCCCCCCTCCCTGTTCTCCTACACCTTATAAGTTGGGGGTGTCAACTCAACATCTAAGGTGGCTTTAGGACACTTGATTGTAATCTATGCAGGCAGCTGTAGGTCTCTGTATTTAGATTTTTCTTCTACTTATCTATGTACCAGTTGTACCAATTTGTTCTAGATTAGCTCACATTTAGTGTTTTTTATTGAGGCTAATTTAGGGAGTTGGTTGCTGTCAAATATAATTCGTCATATTATTGGTTTATTATTTTCTGCTTGTTCAGCAGTTTAGTTTCATTCTTTTTCCATCCACGGTTTCTGAAACTTAGGGAGATGTTGTAAAATGTGTTATTGATAACCGTGCATAATTATATGTAAATGCATAAATCTGTCATTACCATTTTTTGCTGCTACGGTCATGTCTACACTTGACTAGTTGGCTGGTCTTAACATCCACTAATACTGTAAAATTTCTTAAATCCCTTAAACGTATATCATTTCTGAACACTGTGATCTAAAATTTAGTCAAAGTCCACCGTTCTAGATCGACACATCCCAGTGTTATACTTTCACAAGGGAAGTACAGGGGCACTGCCATTCATAAACTCATGAACAAAATACTGGTTGATGGGCTGCATCTTACTTGCAGAATAAGTGAGCACGTGTACAGTTGGCTTCCCTTCCCTGACTTAATTTTACAATCCATTCTCCTTTGATGCCTACTTATCTCAGTCTGACTGCCACAACTCTGCTTTTTGTTTTTATCCAGCCTACAGCTGGCCATACATGGCTGAACCAAAAAAATTGTCCCGATTCCCCCATCTATACATTTGTTGTGGATGTGGGAATCCTCCTGCTGTGTCCTTTCATTTTCAAAGCGGGCAGACTCCCACATCTGCTCGCTGTCAGAATTCACTGATCAGTGATGCAGCCTATTGGCTGCAGTGCTGATCAAATTGAAATTTTCCAGCCGTCCTGTTCATGAGAAGTCATTCAGTAGATCAAATTCTTATGAACGAGAGCAGCTATACATACATTGAATTTGGGCTAGTTCCTGCTTAACCAGGCAAATTTCGATCATGTATGGCCATCTTTAAGTGCATTCTATGCAGAACCCCCCCCCCCCAATACTTACCTGAGCCCCATCTTGATCCAGTGTTTTTTGCAGGAGATCTTTGGCTCCACTAGGTCTCTCCATCTTCACTGGCTGAGACAGCACAATGAGCCAATCGGGAGAGAGCAGGGGGCAAGTCTGCGCTGCGCTCTGTGTGTGAATGGTCAGACAGCAGCGGCTCGAGAGCCTCCATAGCAGTCGGCTTGCTCTGGGGGCACTTGACAGGAAGGGGGGCAAAGCAGTGCTGGCGGGGGACCTGAGAAGAGGAGGATCGGGGATGCTCTGTGCAAAACTACTGCACAGAGCAGGTAAGTATAGTATGTTTTTGTTTTTTTTTTTGTTTTGTTTTTTTTTTGAATCTGCCTTTTAATATAAGTTTACGTTTCCAGTGCTCTGGCCATGCCTGTGTAGAGAAGTCTATAGGGCTGTGTCCTAGGCATCTTTGGCCTTCAGCTGGGCATACACTAATAGAATTGTGTTCAACATTTTTCATTTTAAGAATGTTCATTTTTACAATCATTCGTGGATTCAAAATTTTTGTTTTTGTACTGCAGTGACAAGAAAATTTGAAGGAGCAGGATGGAAAGTTTTTTGTTTTGTTTTTTTTTGTTTTTGTTTTTGTTTTTTTTTTTTGGATGTACACATTTCTTTCAGTGTATGTGGTTTTCTTTTGGTAAAGTCCATTACAAATTTTTAGTCTAAATTCTACTAGCGTATACTCAACCTTAGGAAATTTGCGCATTAGAAGTTTATGGGGCTGTAATGTACAAGAGTGGCCAGGACTCAGATTACTTGTGGCACTGAATCTAAACGAAGAGTGGAGCCTCAGCCCTTGGGTCAGGGTAGAGGATGCAGCTGGGGAGTGAGAATGTTGGGTCACAGACTATAAATGAGTGTTAGAATTCCATATCCCAAGATGTTTTGGGTCAGCAACCCAAAAAGCATTAAAGCTAAAGCATTAGTATGACAATGATGTCTTTGGCATTCTGAAAAGGAGAGGTCAGCAATGGCAGCCACAATGATTCTCACTTGACAGAGTCCCTTCAAGTTGTTCTGTGCAAGTGTCAGAGGTTTTACCACCACCCAGAGTTAATGGATTCTTGCTTCTATATATTCTGTGTTTAAATATACCCTGTAATCATGTCAGGTGATTATCTTCCATTTTGAGCAGTCTAGTGAATGGTATTCCTTATACCATTGCTGATATTTTGCTGGATGTTCTTGAATAGGAGAGGTTCCCTATGTGGTTATCTGCTCTTACGTTGCAGCCAAGAGTGTGGAGCATTGTGCTTTTCACTAGAAGTCTTTTTACCTAAAGTGTCCCTGTGGGGAAACCCATTTACTGTTATGGGCTGATCCACCTGGAAGTCCTCACATTCGTTTCTCACATAGCAGATATTCTGATGAAGCTCCTTGTCTTCTGGCAATTAATTGTACACCTACAAACAAAGCACCTTAAAGTAGTCTTAGCTGACCTCGAATTTTTAGCCAACAAGTATGAATCCATAACAAAAGCTGCACAAGGTTTTATGTCTTAGGTCTGGTTAACGCCAATGCGTTTTTTAGTGCTTTTTGCTGAAACACATTACAGTCCATTTAACATGGTGTCCTATGGAATGCGCTCACATGTACATCTTTTTGAGCTGCTGTGTTTTTAGAAAGAGTCACGGAATTTTTTAAACACAAAACTTTGTGTTTTTGGTTCAAAAGACTTCAATGGAGATGCTGCAGAAAACACATGTAGTACATTTTGTTATGCTTTATTTTTTGTTTTCGTTGATCTGCCTAGTAACAAGTTGCCTCCATCAAAAAAGCATAAAGAACGCATTAAAAAAACTGTCAAAAACATGCATGCAAAATGCAATGCAAAAAGCACTGCAGAAATGGACAAAACGCACACTGCATTGGTATGAACCAGGTCTAAAAGGAAAAAGAAGGTAAATAAATGTCGAGCAGTTTGGATAACTTATAGATCATATTTTCCACTTATCAGTTTATGGCATGTTTTGTATATCATTATAATTTTTAGTATCTGCCCAAAAGGCAAATATGTGTACTTCTGTTTAGCTAAACTTTGCATGGGCTTATTTCTAAACCTTTTTCTATTTGAACAGTTAATACTGTTAAAACATTATCTTGGGTTTGTTTTTATGTATGTATACAGGGGTGTGGAAATGTTTTAAAAAACTACTTGTCCAGGGACTAAATTGATGTCCCAATCTACTTGTCTCTCCTGACAATCTACCTGTCCTGATGGAAAAAAAAAAAATCAATGTTACCAAAACCGTATTTAAATCTGCTTTAAGTAATGTCTGGGACTT